CCCCCCCCCCCCCCCTGGTTCACAAAATTTGAGTTCGAGAAATTTTTTTCATTATTCTACATTATAAGTACCCAAAGAAGCTATATATATATAAAACCGGATACAAATAGGTGTTTTGCGAAATTGAGAGCAATTTCAAATCTGTTCAGTTTGTTTTGATACACCCTGTATAGGTTGCAACACCTCCTAGTATTTAAGGACCCCTGAGCTAGGATGAAAGAGTGTCAACGTTGTAACTTTTGAGTGATTGTTAAACCCATTTAGACTTGCAGTTTTTGCTGCGATGTCGGTGCAATTTTCTTATTCTGATGCATGTAAACGAGTATAGATAAGTCATGAATACAGTAGATGAGTACATGAACCCTCAAGTTAATATTCAGAAACTCATGAAATCGTTCACATCTAACAGACGAAAATCGCATCTAAAATCGCATGAGAAAAAATTTGAATTGTATAAATGGACTTTTACACGAGTTCTACTATGGCATATCGCTCTAGACACATAAAAATAGAAAATCTGTACTTTGAGTACAGCCAAATTTTACTGGCACTACCCCAAGGTCAGAGGGGGCTCAGGTTCAGTTCAGCCTGGGAGCACCTGAGCCGAAGGTTACGCCACTGTTTCATAATACAGTATTTTTGCCCAACCAACGACCCTCAGCTTTCCGTATTTTTGACATTGAAATGACTCAAACTTACATTCTTCTGGTTTTGATATATCCATGTTTTCCTGCAAAGAAAGATAGTACATGTAACACAGTAAAACACTGTGTAAGACAACATACAGGTACACCTTTCCAAGTTAGCCTGTAATGTTTCTTACATAATTACAGAACCATCCTCAGAGAAACACATTCTTATACTACTACTCTGGTTGCAGAGGTTTATTTTCATTGCATTTCAGTGAAAATACTTCTGATTGAAAGCGGCCCATTGATTGATCGCACCGTGCCAATCGGTTTAAACTAGGGTCAGATTCTGTCTCCTGATTGAATGATTGGTTTAATTCAAAACTTGTCAGACGTCAAGTGTGTTCTGATTGGTTGATGTTGTTAGTCTCTCGTGGCCTTGGGAATTAAAGCAAAACGTACAAAACGTCCTGCATGACCAACAGTCAAGGCAAAACATGAGACAACTTTGTGCGGCAACTGTTGCAGTATCATGCCAAACTTTGGATCAACAAATTATCCAGACGCGTAGGGGGTGGGGGAGAGCAAAGCAAAAAGGGACACCAGTGAATGTGTACATATAAATGTAATATACGTGCATAAATTATGCTTACCTTTTCTACAAATGACAGCAAATACAAATAATTGCATACTGTACCTGTGCGTTTGAATTATTTACAAAACTGTCTAGAAGTAGTTCACGTTCTGCTTCGGTTACATTTGCCAGGAGAGTCAACATGTTGGATGCGTCCAAACCAGAAGAAGAGGTGGGTGGTTGAGTAACTATTGCATTGGACACAATGTTGAGATTGTCGAAGTCACTGATGTCCCCATTTATCATTTGGAAACCAGTATCTGCTGCTTGCAACGTGTTGGTGTTTACATGTCTATAGGTATCAGCAACCTGTGAAGCTCCCGGAACTTCCAAAATTGCTGGAAATTCTCCGACGCCTTGTTGGAAATTCCACGAAGTGATTTGTGAACGAGTGCCAAGTATAGGTTGCTCCATATTTGCGTCAGGAACCTCCACTGATCTGGGAATCTCGTCTTGGCGTGTCATAGTCCCAAATGTTTGTAACTGATCTTGTCTGATCATATTACCAACAATTTGAAATGGTGACATTATTGTATTCCCTACTAACTGTCCTTGTGGAACCGTATTAACATAACTACGAAATGGTTGGCTTGACGGAGTCTGAGAAACAGTAGCTAACATTGGTAACTGATTTTGTCTTGTCGCACAGACAGAACTCTGCAGTGATGGTGTTAATGCAGTCTGGGGAACAATTGTTGACAATGGCAATTGACTTGGTGGTACCATATTACCAGAACTGTGAACAGATGGTGTTGATGCAGTCTGGGGGACAACAGCAGAAAATGGTAACTGACCTTGTGGTACCATATTACCAGAACTGTGAACAGGTGGTATTGTTTCGGTCCCAGAAACTGTAGCTATCGCTGGTGATGGACATTGTGCAGTTGAATTCCCAGAAGTGCTAACTGGTGGTCTCGATTCATCTACAAAAGTAACAGCTGACAATGGCCTTTGTGCCACCATATTACCAGAACTCTGAACTGGTGGTGTTGATTTAGTCTGACCAACAACAATTGACGATGATGACAAATCTAGCGTGTTATACAACAACTGCCTCAAATCAATTCCAGTCATATCTGATGCTGGTAACTGACAATTGGTTGGCATGGCAACAGATGTGATCACATTTTTACTAGATTCACCTCCAACATTATTACTTGCAGGGACTGCTGGAACAGGTTTTGGTAAGATTGGTACATAAACTAGCTGGCTACCACCAACCGTACTGCGCAATCTTTTCATGCGAGGTATTCCATGGGTGCACGGCAATATCTAGAACAGAGAAATATTGTAAGTTCAACATACCCTATTACCCGGCATATACAGTAAGCGCACTGCAATATAAGCGCATGCGCCTTTAAACCGTCAAAATTTGCAAGTTAGATAGACATGAGCAATCAGGCCAGCCAGGTTGCCCATATAAATGCAATGAATGATAATTTCTACAGTGAAACTAATTGCAAGGCAAGGTATCACTTGGTGGGTTGTCCTGTTATATGGGCACATCGGTGTCAGGCTTCCATTGGTCTAGGTTTCCACATACACAGGAAAAAAATCTAATTTCCATTAATTAATGGATTCTTGAAACTGAACTCTTGCCATTATTGGATTTCCCATTGGTAAATTAGTGTACCGTAGATTTCCCATTGGTAAATTAGTTTTTATCTTTACCAGGAAAATACCATTAATGGCAAATATTAAAAATGTTTTTTTGCCAATTTGCCATATGGGGAATCTATAACTACCAATAATGGTAAGAGTTCACTTTTGACAGTATATACTGCATGGTAAATCTTTAAAAAACATTCAAAACCCATTAATGACTTTTTTATTTCCTGTGATATACAGCCCTTCTTAGGCCCGGTTTAGACGGCGAACTTTTCATGCGCCGAATCTAATGCAAGGATTAAGTGCGACGCTGGAGCGGCGTCTAAATCAATTAAGTTCGGCAGATTTTGATTAAGTTCGACACGACTCGAAGATGCGACAAGACAAGTTGTATGTGTGACACAGGTTCGACATTGATTTATGCGCCGAACCTAATGCATACTTATATTTTTAACACATTATAATATGATTATCATATATTTGCATTGTAAATATGTCCAATATAGTGTCCTCGCAATTTGGTACGGCACAATTAAGTTCAACGTCTAAATCAGTTTCCAATATTTTGCCGTATCTACGACAATTAGATTTGGCGCATGAAAAGTTCGCCGTCTAAACCGGGCCTTATACAGACAACAGTACCTTATCCTCTGGAATCTTTTGTATATAAAGCCGGCCTTGTCCTCGTTCACTGTTGTAAACATTTTCTGGGGTGTAACATCTGTAGCAACATGTACCGGGGTTCAGCTCCTCCAATGTATTGTCTTTGCCAGCTTTCATAAACACAAAACAAGCATTTTCTAACTTGGGATAAATTTCAACTAACTTTTGTTTGAACTCTTCATTTGTTAGTTCCATTGAAAATTCCACTTTGTCTTTCTCGGGGTTTGCACAATGTTCTGTTAAAATATCAATTTAGAGATCAAACTGTGGTAAAAAAAACTATTCTTAAGTCATTACCATACACTGGCATCGCTAGACTTTCAAACTTTGCAGATTCAAAATGAGTCAGAATATGAGTAATATGTACATCTCATGCCTACTGTATGTATAGGCACCCCCTCCTCCTATTCCTCACCCCAATATTTTTAGAAATGAAATATGGTTTCCACAAGAACCTGTAGTTAGCGCTCTAATAGTATTGCCACGCTGGACTCTGTAATGTCAAAGTTCTAATATCTATATCACTATATTATACATACAGTATGTAGGGCATATACCTTACAATGGCACCACCTTAGTGTACAGTATAACTGGCCTCTGTAGCTCTGTTGGTTAGAATTTACACTCAGAATTTCCACCACAAATTCCTTCAACACTTTTTTAAAACTTCATTACTATACCTGGTTGAGGAGGTCCACATCCTTTCTGCATTAACTGATTTATTGCTTCTCTTGAACATATTTCTTTTGTAACTTTTGTGATCTCGTTATCAGGATCAAGTAGAAATAGCTTCACTGAAAACTTGTTTACTGGTCGTCCTCGCTTCCTTACCTTTGGCTCACGATCATTATTGGCCATATTTGCTTTGACGGATGTTACATTACATATTGTATTTTTAACAGAATGTCGCTGAAGTCAGTAGTTGTTTACACAACCCTGAAATACAAAATATTTAAACATATACAAAGCTGTCCTTCAGTAGCATTATGCGAGTGTTGTGTGTTAGAATGTGGCCCACAGCTATGCTGTTGAAAATAAAGCCTAACTTAGGCGGCAAGTTTTAAAGATGCGGTACAGTCCGATCTGCGCATGTGCACAAAAGCTCCTCTTTTTATTTACAAACAGTTTATTTAGGTTTTTATTTCATTTTATGTTCTTGCAAAGCTTGATTGTTGTCTGTTGATAATTTATTATACTCTAGAATCATGAAAATATAAATAGTTGTCGAATAAAATTCATTATTTTGGATACCAAAATGTAAACAAAGCCTTTGTTTATATACGGACTGTACCGCACCTTTAATAAAAAAACTTTAAAAATATAAAAAGGTGTCCCACAGGAGCACAGTTAAAACCCTGGGTACAAGGTGGAAGGTGTGTTAGCTTTCGTCATCCCTGGTTTTTGTCTGTACATAATCTTGATGTTTGAAACCCCCAAAAAGAGGCAAAAACTGGACTGTGAAAAATAATACTAAGCTCTATAATTTTACAGTTTTTTCTTGTGTCTCTAAAATACGTCATAATTAACACAAGAAAGCATTCTGATCAAGCTTTGTCGCCTTTTTATTGTGTGTGTAGATCTCACATATAGTGAACAAATGGCGATATACGGTTCATCAGTCAACCATCTCGGTTTTCCAATATAGAGTTTTTCAAATATTCAAAATGCATCAATTCACAGGGTTGAATGGTTCTCATAAGCACTGGTAGCGGACACTAGGGTGGGGGAGGGGGGTGGGGTGAGCCCTCCCAATAATTTTGAAAGACTGTAAAAATCTTGTACCAAATAACACAAATCACAATCATATAACGTAATTGTCATCATGATATAATATGTTTCTGTACTGTACATGTCCACGGCCGTAGGAAGCTCTTTTTGATGGGGGCTGAAAGTGAGGGCCAAAGGTCCAAGAATCTCTGAAATGCCATTTCCTGGACTTTGGGGAAGATTTGACAGAATTCTGATGGTCAGAAAACAGCGTTTTAGTATGTCGAAATTTACAATTTGATAGTACCAAATGGGCAAAGTAATTAACTACAGTGTATATTGGATAAGTTGCAGGAACGTACAGTATGGGTAATATCTTCATTCTTTGCGGTTTCTCATGGATAATGTAGCCGCTTAAAATTAATAAAGCTTAAAGGTGATCTACAGTCCGATCTGCGCATGTGCACAAATGAGCCCACTTTTTATGATACAAACAGTTTAACTATGTTTTGAGTTCTTGAAAAGCCTGATTGTTGTTTCTTGATAATTTATTATACTCTAGAAGCTTGAAAATATAAATAGTTGTCGAATAAAGCTCAATATTTTGGACACAAAAATGTAAACAAAGGCTTTGTTTACATACGGACTGTAGATCACCTTTAAAATCGATAAATGCCTGCACAATTTTGAAAAAAGAATGATTAGCAAATTATTGGGGGGGGGGGGGGCTGGCTACAGCCCTCCCCCCCAGTTGCTATGGCCCTGCATGTCACAACATACACTTTGACGAATACTAGGGGGTCAACTTTTTGCAACAGGCACTTCTTTAAATGTCATTGTCGATGTTTTGTTGTTTGAAATGGCAAAATTTACTGCTGGACAATAATATTTGAATGCATATTAAATTACTATGCTCAAAAACAATGGATAATTCAAATAACATTCCAATTTTATGTTAACAAAAACAAAATCACTCTCATCTCACAATCCCTCAAACAAATCCTTCAAATAAACTTGACCACATTTGTTTTGTATATACTGTATATATTATCTATATCTATGGTATACAGCTATTTCAATTAAGGTTGTCCCCAAGCAAAGTGGAAATGTCGAATACGAGCGTGAAAGGCTGCTGGGAATTGCTAAAAAATCATTAATTTTTTAGCGATTCCCAGCAGGCTTTTGTGCTTGTATTCGACTTTTCTGCTTTGCTCGGGGGCAGCCTTAATTAAAATACAGTAGCTGTATACAGCCTAGTTCCTGGCCTTCTCGCTTCCACCTCATTATTTTAGGGGGAAATCGACAAGGTTTGCAGGTTGACCAGGATAAAGCTGTATCATTTGGAGACTGTGACCCAATTCGGACAGCCCGCAAGTTCATGACAGTCTGTGGTATATTATATACAGTATTAAATTTCCCATACGCCAGCCATAAGCCCATAGCTTATATCCGTTTAT